GGCTGGCTGGGGAATTCTGGGAGTTGAAGTCCACACATCTTCAAGTCGCCAAGGTTGAGAACACTGATATAGACTCTCCCACTGATGAAGATGATGATATTTTTATCCTGCCTTTTTAAAATATATATTTCAACCAACTCAAGGTGGCGAACATATCTAATACTCCTGCCTCCTATTTTCCTTACGACAGCCCTGCAAAGTGGGTGGGGCTGAGAGAGTGACTGGCCCAAAGTCACGCAGACAGCTTTCACGCTTAAGGCAGGCCTAGAACTCAATACTTCACTTGAATTTAGCCCTTGGCTCCTTACCTGCCATCTTTGAAAACCTCCTTTTTTCGTTTCCCGACTCCAAGTATCTGTACGCAGAAAGTGTGCGGGTGCGTAAGAGCGGACGAAAAATCAGCCTGATTTCCTAACACAAGCGCCACCCAGATTCAGCCTTCTTTGGAACCCGCACGGCGATGTGCACGCTTTTGATAAGTGTGTGCGTTCACGACTGTTGAGAACCTTAGAATGATCTGTGTTTATTTTTTTTTAAAATTGAGGATAAAGAGGATCCGAGTTGAGGGCTGCTGTGAAATGGGGAAGCTTCTGGGAGTTGAGATTCTGGCCCCGGCCGGTGGTTACAGGATAGGATAACTCGCCATGCTCGCGACCCCACAGTGATTGTGGGCCCTTCTTGCCAGCCGCATGTACCCGTTCTCACCCCATGTTTCTGACCAGCTGTTGGATTTAAAGGGGAAGATAGGTCACCTTATTCCAGAAATTGCTCCAGTAAGCAACCCCAACAAGGGTGGTGGGATAACACTCAGGGCGACAGCTGGAAAGGTCCATAAGACAGGTCTTCCAGGTCCAATTCAAGGTGTTGGTTATTACCTTTAAAGCCCTACATGGCATCGGTCCAAGTTACCTGAGGGACCGTCTCACCCCCCATCACATCGACCCGTCCCACCCAGTCCAGCAGAGAGGTCATGTTGTGGACCCCGTCGGTGAGAGAATGTCGGCTGGCAGGCCCAGGAGGAGACCCTTCTCTGCCGTGGCCCCCGCCCTATGGAATATTCTCCCCCCAGAGGTGGGACAGGGCCCTCCCCCCTCCACCTTCCCTAAGGGGGGAAGGCG